AGTGGCAGAACACCTTGAAGACATGGGCCATCAAACCACCGAGAACACGTTCACGATCATGAACGAAGTGCCACCAAACGAATCCAAAGCTGGTCGTCAACAGTACCCTGCTACAGCCGAGGCGGTGACCATTAGCCTACTCAATCAATCCCTTTGTTCTCAGAAGCTATTTGTTTAGTCACTTCGCTTAATCTGGCCTCAACCTGTCCGAAAGGACAGGCTTTTGGCGCGCCCCGCTTTAGTACAACTTTCATCAAGCTTGAGAAATAACCGTAATTCTTGAGACTCCACGGTCGTAATTATGTCAAATGTTGCAGCCTCATTAAACTGGTGTTTGTAATGGATTCGTGTTTTTGAACGGTGTTTATCTTCGGCGTGTTAATGAATCCACATCTGAAGAACAGAGTTCACTTTAAGTGAATGTATGGAACGGTAAGCATTTACGTTTATGTGGTTTCACTTATTGATTTATATGAGGGCCTGTGTATGCAAAACAATGTACCGTTTGTGTTACATTTGAGATTTTCACTCACAAGAGTATGGTACGTTATGCGGAAACTGAAGTTGTACGACATGTGTTAAAAGATTTGACGATAGGAGCACTTCGTTTAAACCTTCTCCAATCAACATGTGGTTCAGCATGCGACCGCCACACCCGTATTTTCAAATGAAGCTTTGCAACAGCAAAATTTTTATAAAATAAAATGTTTCAACACTAGTTGACCTCAAAATATTCCGGTACGTATTTGTCTGACTGGTTTATGTCGGTATTACTAGAACCTGTGCGTCGAATCTAAAGAACTACGCATTGCGGGTTTTGGCTAAAGCTTGATGGGTACCGGTGTACATAGATTGTCTAAAGAGTCCCACAGAGCACATTTCAAATAGAACAAGGAGTGGCGAACAAGCTCGTTTTCAGTGATTCGTAGTCATGCCAAGACATCACAATAAAATATTACGCTGTTTATATATAAATCAGTATTCAACCATAAAAACGCAAACAAATGTTTCGAGAAAGGGAAAATAACCTCATGGGCTATCTGGGGCCAAGTTCATCTTGGGATCGGATGTGGAATTCTCAATGATCGCATAATTGTTAGGTCATCCGTTCGTTGGGACCACTCGGAATATGGGGTGTGTAGGGGGTGGCCAGGGGAGCTGAAGCTGATTAAGATGATTAAAAATGGTTCTGGTAGCTTTGTTCAGGCACACAAACATTGAGATGTCTGACTGAAGATCGATGCAATTCTGACATTGTCAGGTCAATCTTATGTATCATTTTTCTTATGGAAAACAGTGAGACGATTCAGAGACTCCATGGTAAAGTGATTAGCTGCATCATATCTCCCATAAATTTGCGGATAAAACGTTATTAGTAGAAAAAACATTTCAAGACGAGTATTTAATATATGTTTTCCCACTACTCTCTTGAATGAAATGAAAACAGTGGATCAGGTGATGCATTAGGACCCGTAGCAAATGTTTATGTAAATGAATGGGACAAGTTTCCCGTCAAGCGGGCGGTCAGATTTAACCGTTTAATGATAGAGAAATTCTCAACTCACCTGGTTCAGACGTTTCAATGACAGAACGACGGTTGGATTAAGCAGATAAGCTTACTGAGGGCTGCCTGTGTTTTAAGCTTAAAACAAAGGAGAACTGACAATACATTTGAATTTGATTTAAATAATCACGCAGATGAAAACTGTTCATTTTTATCGAAATGATGTGAACTCCGAGTAAATAATGAATAAATAAATAGATAGGATTCAAAGTCAGTTTACCGTATGGCTTTCACCCTTTGCAGTACCTTCTGACTGCCATTCGTAAACTTTGAATGAATTCCAATAAAGAAAAAGATGTTTTTCCGCTGCCATGAGGCAGTATGTCGTCATGTGGTTTGGGTTGTACACTTTCATTATCCGCTATTATTAATTAACTGAAAAGGAAAAATTACTTCTCGGCTGTCACGGATATTTCACTCTGAATTCTTTGTCATTTCCTACTGTTTGTAATTCCGGAGTTGGTTGATTCAAATTACAATGGTTAGAACAATGAAAAAAAACTAATTTTGGTACTTGCAATTTGATTCATTTACGTAAACTGCTCTAGTTTCAGCAATCTGCCAGTTCGCGAATAAGAAACGCTCATGCGAAAACCCGTTGATCGTTTACCAACCGTACAACAGCGCTATCGGTGCTAGCTTATACAGGCAAGGAGATGTTTAGGTGAGGTCAGGTCAGGTTAGGTTGCACAGAACTGAATATGGCCATTGTTAATCGAGCCTCCAGAAATCCTTCGATGAAATGCTCAGCTCTGCTGAACTAAGAATGAAAAATAGAATCTCATCTCGCCAAATTGGCGGTTGAATTGTTAGACGTGAGCGTTTCATTACGTGCGCCGGTAAAAAGAGAAACGCTATCCTAAACGTGTTGCACGCTTACACTCATCTGCACTGCCAGAGAAGGGAATAGTTCCATCGATCGCTTATAAAATGCAGTTTTAAAGGCTTGCACTGTCTGGAGGTCAATTATTTCCTTTGAAATCTGGTTCCAACTATCGACTATCCTATTGTTGAAAAAGTGCCTCCGCATGTTTAGCCGACACCTCTGCTTTGTGAGTTTAAACTCATGCTCCCTAGTGCCATGTTGAGGAGCTGATATTAAGAGTCTTCCCACTCATCCCTCATATTCCTTTCATGATTTTGAAGGTTTCCCTGAGGTCTCCGCGGAGTCCCCATCTTCCTAATGAGAAAAAACCTAAAGCTTCTAGGCTGTCCTCGTGTGTTCTTCTCCTTTAGCCTTCAACCATTCTGGTGGCCAACTGCTGAACTTTCTTCAAACAGGCGTCGTCGTTCTTGAATAAGTTTGACCAAGCCTGTACACAATACTCCAGGCGCGATCTGACTATGGCTTTGTCAACGGGAATGAAGACTTCCGGTCGTTTAGCACTATCCCAATAACCCAATTCACAACCAAAAAACTGATTGCCCACTTCAGTGCTAGATGTTCATGTTATGCGTCTATTCAACTAATAGCCTTCGATCCAAAACCAAAATACCGGATCAATACTAATCCTGGTTTTTCACCCAACCAATATTATTTTTTTACTAAGATGAAGAAAACATCCCTAGCAGTATGCATTACTGAAACATAATCCTGAATGACCAGTGATATTAAAAAGACTGTGTCTACCATACACAATGGTGTGAATGAATGTGAATGTATTTTTACGTTTTATTTTATTTATTAAATATACAATTGTACAGTGAACCTTGAGGAAGGGGGGCGCGGTCATGCAGCATAGAGAAATGGGGAACATGGGCAGCGGTGGAACAGTTCGAATTCGGGACTTCATCGTCGTCATTTTGATAATGTCAACCACTTGGACCTCTCTGCCCATTTAATTTACTTCAATCGATCATCTTGTATCCCTCGGCTACATAAACTGATAAGCGGCAGCGTGCTAAGGTAGAACCTGTAACCAGCAGGAGTACCACAAGATATTATGCCTTGTTACTCTATAAATATTCAATATTGGAAACTGCACTGGTTAATCCAGTTGTTTGCAAATTTACCGCAACCGTAAATGGTTTAGCTTACCCTATTGAACGATGGACCTAACATTTCTGTAATTCTACAAACTCTGTTTTGAGAGCGTTACCTACGAAATCATTCTGCCGCTTTTTATTTTTCTATCAAGTAAACTAAGCGGTGATTGAGGTCTGAACGATAAACACCAAGTCACCCAGAAATGGTAGACCAATGGCGATAACAAAACAAAACCTGGAATGAACCCAAGAGTCTTTCATTGATACGGCTCTGGCAGAATGGCTTTCGTGAGCCTCGAATCACGAAGCGTTCAGCCACATGCGCCCAATTGATTATTTTTGACACGCTAATACCATACACTGCTTTCGCTACACAATTTTTTCGAAGCGGGAATCTTCCAAACACCGATTATTCAACCTTGTCTTTTTAACCGCAGTCATTAACCCTGTGTTCGAGCTGAAATTTGGTAATTATCAGCAGTTTAGTCTAATTGGTGACTTGATTTTATCACTGACAGCAGTTCTACAGCCGCTTTGCTCTGTTTCGTAGGGGGTCCAGTATAAACTTCTGAGCATTTGACAATACGGTTATTGATACTTGATCTTATTTTAGAAATTATTCGAAATCCGTTTTCTGAATAACCGACGTTCAATTGATCGTACAACTGACTCAGTTCAGTCAGTTAAGTTATAACAACCAATAATCATGCATCGTCATCCTTCGGCTTTTTTTTGTTTGTCTTGAGGCTAGCCATTTGAATAAAGGAGCAGGCGGAGGAAGGTAATTTCGAAAGCTTTTCAAGGAGGAGACAGAGAATTCCGGTTGGCTAAGATTGCAAAGAGATTAAGATGCATGAGCGCCAATGTTCTGCGATACTAAGGCATATCACGCCATGTCTCTAACCATCAGTTAAGCTGATCCCAAGGTCCACATCCAGGGAGCCGAGCGCGACCTATATAATCTAGTCTCCTGGTTAGAGTTTCCATATCCTTAGCTGAGGCGCTTTTATTACCGCCCTTGACCTTTTTTATCGGCTGCCTGCCTGAACAAACATCACGCACCCTGGAAATCTTCCTTGGTGGCACATACTTCAACCACCACAATCCATGGTGGTCGATCACTGTCCCCAGTGAACGTCCGCATTTGCCTGAAACTCTTCCGGGGGTAGTTATTGCTCAGATTGATCAAAACAATCCACATTGATTTGGCCGTTCGACAAAACAAATTGTCCTCAAGTTGACTGGAGCTTTTTCGCAGTTGTCTGTTCTCTTGGATGTCACAAAATTTCGCTTGCAGTGAGGTTGATCAATTAACCATTATACTAATGAAGTTCATTTATACGATCGGCTTCTTGGGTAAAATGCATGCAGCGGCGAATGCCTAAACAATTTAAAACTTAGTTATGAAGTAGATGTGGACTTCAATTGGAGTACCTTTACAATAAACTAAATGTGGACAGTACTTTTGGCCTCTGAATTCCAGGAACTGCAAAAGTTACAAAGTTCACTAGAACAAAAAGAGGCGAACAGTACTCTCTTACAGGATCGCGTCAAGCAGTTGACCGACGCGCTACATGCCGCTCGGGGAGAAACCGAGGCGATCGCGAAAAAGTTCACCTTGTTGGCTGAGACCGAGGCTAAAATACATCCAAACAAACAAACTGGCGACGCTATCGGGAGCAGATGCAGCAGTAGCAGCGGCAGCAACAAATCATTCACGGGTGGAGATGCGAGAGAGGAGAATGTGAAAATGATTCATGCGTTTCTGTGAGTGATATTACGCTGGATTATTTTCCATTGGAGTTTGGGATTATTCACTATTGTTGATGTGATGTACCTTTTCCGTGATTAGGATTGTTTTGATGCCGTACCCCTCATTTATTAAGGCGTTCAAGAAAAATATTCACATTTCAACTTGTTATAGACAAAAGTCCTGACTGCAGATAAACATATATCCATTGTTGTTAGCAACTGCAACATGGTGACATTGTCGTTACCATGACAAAATTTATTATGCTTTGGACCGAAAATAAAGTATTTCTCTGTATTTATTGAAACTCAATTCATTTGTAGTATGAAAACAGCAATTAAGTTGGTCGAAGGTCATCAGAATAATTGACAGTATTTTTATTCTCAATCAACTGACACGGGAACAACTTAAAGAGTTGAGTTTAGTCTGAGCCACCACCAACCATGCACTCCTGTTCCGATGGTTGTTTACGTTCGCCCACGTGGTTCCCCTGAATGTAAATCTTATTATGCAGTAGTATTACCAAGAGTGAGACAGGCATTGGGAGTGAGCTATGTATGTGCACACGATACACGAATGTAAGTGTTTAATAACACAGCTGAATCTCCTAAAGTTCCACTATATCAGGTGAACTGGTTCTGAGCTCTTCAACCCACGAGCTGTATGATCGATTACTTGTAACGTTACACCAGATAACAGTCTGGTTACTGTTGATCATTTTCTGATCATCCCTGTTCTTATCGAACNTCGCACGTTCCAACTATCAAAATCTGTGTAGGTCAATCTCCGAAGAAAGTGCTCGAATGTACTTGCCTTATATTCATTGGTGTTTATGTGCACACTTTACAGTAGGAATTTCAGAGCTGTCATAACATAATTCACAAATAGACGTATACCGACCGCTAATTCGTAATATCTTCAATAATTTGATCAGCAGCAAAACAACCTTTTGAATGCGGGCCAAAGGTTCTTGCAAGATTCATCATCCAAGAAAGATGTAGTTATCTTCACATCAGAAATGGCGAACACTCTCCATTCTCTTCCCCTTCCGGCGAGACACTGTCAACCGAAAAATGTGGCATTTCACAGAATAAATGTAAAATATCGATAGATTGCATTTACTTAGATGTTAACCGAACATAACTTGGTTATCATTAGTCAACCAAGTTGTTACTCGAGCATGCCTCTGGTTTACCTAAATTATACTGTAATTCCCAAGCTTTCTGTAGTAGATTTATTTGTTCCACTAGTACCCCTTAAATATAATCGCTCTCTAGGATTTAAAGTAGCGAAAATGATTGTGGGTAAATACAATCATTAGATATGGCATTTAGTATGAGATAAACAGTAGTGCCAAGCTTGTTTTAACGTTTCATTCGGTGACAAATTTATCAAGAAGCCAATTTGCAAAGAAGCTCATTTTCGGTGCATCATTCACTAGCCCCATACAGCACTCTTTTATAGGTCACAAAATCACATCATTCAGGGAAACAGAAAAAACGTAGATAATGTTCGTGTTTGTATGCGTTTGTATGGATACTATGGATAATACAGTAAGGATACATGAGAGTTAGAATCATTTCGCAAATGTCATTTGTGTTAACGAATAAATAAAATACAGAAGGGGTTAGATACTCATTTGATAACCGGCTTTATGTCACTCTAACGTTTATCGCTGACCATGGTAGATCCAGAGCTCTACGACTGTTTTTATTCACAATTTATGACATAAGGTCCTATAGATTAGGAATTAGTTCCAGACTGAGAGAATAAATTTAAATGATCATGAATGAATGTCGCTCACATATTAGTCATAACACATCCATTTATTCCAGTTGAAAGAGTAAAGATAGGATCACCGATAATGGTCGCGGAAGGCCTAATGTTCTTTTGAACCTCTTACGGGCGAGGCAAATAAATAGATTACAGCGGCGGATTCTAGTCGTTTTCACTGTGGTCAGTCTGTGAATTCTAATCTCCTTCACTCGAAAAACGCTCGCCAAGTAGAGAGAGGAAAATGCCTCAGCCAAATCACAAGGAGTGAAACAAATTTGAATTTAAATGAACTACTGATGTACTTCCTCGGTGCTTTTTAACCAAGCCGGATGGAGTTCCGAAACTTCCGCATTTCGAATGGTCCCACTATCGTTTCAAGATGTCCGAATATCATTTCAAGTTGTGTAAGTACCGTTTGAAGTTGTTCGAGTATTATTTGAAATTGTCTGAGCATCATTTCAAGCTATCTAGTTGACCTCGTCGGAGCGGCCAGGCTCGTGTACTTTTCGAGCTTCTCCACGATATCTGAATGACCACCACGTAGCATAGACGTCTCGCCTCCTGTTGACGCGCGGGGTGACGATTGTGCGACGTGTCTCGATTNNNNCACACACACACACACACACACACACACACACACACACACACACACACACACGAACACACTAATTCCCATGACGTATCTTGATGGCATACTTCACTAGCACGCGTACGCGTCTGTGTTTGTTTCCCTCTGAAAAGTCACATCGGGCCCTGCTACGCCAATAACAATGCATCCACACGTATGAAGACGCACCGGTACTTGGCTAGAAGTAAAAATTAAAAATTAAAATAAGATTTTCAGTATATTTCGACAGTCCTCGTTACGTTATTTCAGTCACAGTTGTCTTACTAGAGGTATATCATTCCGTTCTGGATATATCGTCAAACTGATCATTTTGATTTTTAAGTGCTTGAAGGGTAAAATTTTTATTTGTGCGATAACGCAGAGATGGAATCTACTCTACACGCGTCGCACAAACTGGTTGCGAATCTGGCCAACACTGAAGTGTATCGTGTATCGATCAAGCATGATCGATTGACTAATCGATCATGCCACGGACGTAAACAATGACTGAGGTGTTGATTACGTATGAACCGTTGATATCAGCGGAGCATGGCCCGATATGACTTTTCACAGGAGGGAAATGAACACAGACGCGTACGCGTGCCAGTGCGGTATGCAATCAAGATACGTCATGGGAATTGGGGTGTGATCGAGGCACGTCGCACAATCGTCACCCCGTGCATCAACAGGAGGTGAGAAGTCTATGCCGCATGGTGATCATCCAGATATTGCTGAGAGGCTTGAAAAGTAAGCAAGCCTGGCAGTTCCGACGAGGTCAACAAGACAGCTTGAAATGATGCTCAGACAATTTGAAATGATACTCGACAACTTTAAATGGATATGCACTACTGATGAGCTCTAGTAAGAGCGAAAGTCGAGTCTAGTACTTTCGTGTGTATGGTTGAATCGATGAACTGAGGATTTTGTGTGAAGGTGAAGTCCAAAGGATAGTCAGTCAAATCAATCAATATCAGTTATCTCACACACACTACCCACAAGTAACTGTGAGTTAAATAAGAACTTCAAATGATACTGATACAACTTGATAATCAGACAGAGTGAAGTGATATTCGAACAATGGACGGGGTCTACTTGTGTTGTTTTAAAGGTACCAATCAGTCAGTGCATACAAAAATGGGTTGCAGAAATAGGCGGTCTATCATCGAGAGAGATACCAAAGATTGTCCCGGAGATGGGTATAATTCTCAGCTTTGTTGCGTGAGATGCCTTTGTCTATGGCTGTGGTCAATTTGTGTATTATAATTATCATCATTTTAGAATCGGGTGTTTTTTAAAATAAGTGTAGCATACTTTGAACTGAAATAATTAAGGATTATTTTGATTTTTTTCCGGTTAAAATTGTATCTGAGTTTGTATAACCATTAACCACGCATATCGGTTTGGGTTGCTGTCTTTTGGTTGCCCATTTGGATGAACAGAGAGGGAGAATGACAGGAAATTTAAAAGTCAAGTCGAACAGAAGATGGAGAATTTCAGGCTGCAAAAAGTTGACAAGATGCACGAACGCCATTACTTACGACACTCAGCTATATCACTCAGTGTATCTAACCACCCGTTAAGATTATCCCGAGGTCCCCAGCCAAGGAGCCTAATGCGAACTCTATGTGTGATCAAGTCTCTCGGTTAGGGTTATTTTGATCGTCCTTGACATTCACAACACCTTCCTCGACAAACATCGCTCACCGTGGCAGCCTATTTGGTGACATGCATAACACATGCCTTAACCAACCTAATCTACGGAGGCCAATCACTTGCTCCAGTGGGATTCTGCGCCTAAACTCAGCATTGCTTATCCGGCTGCCCCACCAGATTCGTACAATGCTGCGTAGACAGTGGTGTTCAAACACCGTTTTCTTAATGGCCAAGTTTCCGCACCGTATAGAAGAGCTGGACGAAATGTATAGAGTTTAATAATCTTTTTTCTGCATAGATAATGAAGCAGCTAAAGCTGCAACAATTAGACCGAAACTCATCTATTTAAAATAGATGAATAACGAAATTGGGGTGAATATCACTATGAATTCGAACTTGTTATCTCGGATCGTAACAATGAGGATGAGAATTGACTGTATGCGACTTTTATGGACGCGGAAAATAAAGGACCAAAAGAATTGCGATTGTCTGCGGCCTGATCGCCCAGTTTCCAAATTGTGGGCTTACGCCTGTGTTGCCCTAGAGATTGTAATCTTGTCAACACTTCGGACAGAATTGATGCCAGGACTTGATGTAAGCTATCGTTCCCTTGGTCCTGATTTGGTATTGCCATTTTGTGGTCATTACCATGGGAACTGGTGCGGTCACCCCAAGATTGAGAATCACAATTAGGTCAGACCCACAATTCGTGGAACCGAAGTCGGTTAATCGACCTCAAGGAATAGGAATTATGATTGACTGTGAAACTACAAACGAATCAAATTTAGTAGCACCTTATTTCATTATGAATGTTGGTAAAACACCACGATGGAGCTCAGATGTGTTAATTAATTGGTGCACTCTTTTGTTGTGACTAAAAAAGAGGCACTAGAACCGACGGCAAACAGAAGAAAACAAATGCAATGTATAATAAAAGGGAAGGTGAATTCAGCATAGGAAATCCACCAAGCACTGAGAACCTGTGAACAGACATCGTGCAGTTATCTTAGTTCAATTTGGAAATATAATGTGTGTAGATCCCTCAAACCGCTTGGGACTGACCTCCGAGTATTTTTATTGTTTAGTACGCACCATTTTAGACCGATCATCTAAGCCGCACAGTGGCAAAACTGCTTAACGCAAAGTGATTGTATTCTTGAGAGTAATAGATGCGTGCATACAAATAGGGGTGCATTTCATAGGTCTGTTCAACGACCGGCTGTCTACCAGAAAAGCTCATCATGGAACTCCGGTTTTCCCCATATCGGGAGGGCGATGCTGCAGAAACCGTTCGGTAGTCGTGCCCCTCATTATGTTAAATGTTAACTGATGATAAAACAGGAATATTTTCCTCCACTATTTTAGCCTAAGTTCTACTTAAAAGGCAGTAACTAATACTGATTACATTCCGCATGATATTTTTCTAACGGTCAGCTAGTTCCCCAAGATTCACGAATACACCGTAAAATATGAACCAGCAGTGAATGACCCAACCATATGGACTATACCGAGGCACCAGTTACTAATATATGAACGCATTGAATATATCACATTCATTTTGTCCAGTAGAACGGTGATTTCCTTCTATTGTTGAACAGCATGTTGCGGCATAATAACCTTTCTTTCACAACTACTGAAAAAAGCCTGTCATAAATTTGCCATTCTAATTGCTGCAGATTTGAATGATAAGGTGGATTTCGAAAGACTTCAAACAACTTTTTCAATAATTTTCGCGAAATTTGGGGTTCGTTCAGTGTTTTGATCACATGGGAGGGGTTGTGTAGGTTAATAAATCAGTTGAGAATCTGAAATTCATTCATGCCGCCTGAGGTTGCCATACTAAGAAATACAGGTTATGATTTGATGCTCTGAAATCACCTTGGTGAGTTGTACACTTTTCGACCCAATCGGACGAAATGAAGATTTCTTTTTTGCACGTTTTGTGCCTACAAATTACGAAATAAGATCACAGTAGAAGTTTGAATCGGACCACCATTTGAATAATTGATCGATTTAGTTACTATTATGGTTACCTATTGTTTGAACGCAGTCGGGTTGTCAGGACTATATAAATGTCACTTGGCATTTGTGAATCTGAGAAGTCTGGCTATAAATGAAACATGATTTCATCGTTGATATCCGGATAAGTGATATGATATTTTCCTTTAATAATACTTTATTTTCTCTCAATTAAGGGAAAATGTTTCAAATTGGTTCAAAATTCCCACGTGTGCTCAAACCTCGGAGGTACTGTCCGTCATTCTGGACCGCATACAAGAAATGGATGAACACATGAAAAAATGTTCCAATGTACGTCATCTTTTTGAACCCATGCCGAAGAAATCTTCTCACAAATAAGTGTATATGCTTCCTTTCTAATCTCAGAGTGGTCATTGTTGCGTCCGCTTCCGCTCGTAATTCTAATATGCGTGTTAGGTTAAACCGACGGCCTGATCTAAGATGAACGAGCTTGAACTTCGCAAAAACGGTCAATCCTCAACTGGAATGAACAAATTCTAACGCGGTATTGATGACCAACCCCAAACTGCAATGAACGTTTTCAACGCGATAAGAAGGAAGGATCCCAATGAACCGAAACCAACAATAGCGTGCAATGAAAACACGAATCCAGCAGATCGACCATGACAGTTTATACGGTATCTAAAACACATTGTAATAAATTGTACAAAACGAGAAAAAACATAGATGTATGTATGCTTACACAAGCAGAACGCAGAAAGCGATCGAACTAAATGTACACCAAGATCAACCGAGCTGACCAAGCAATATGTCCCGGGTTGAACGTCAAAATTGTTATTTAAACGTTGAAATAAACAGAAAATTACAGACAGCAAATAGTTGAAATGACAGGAAACAAGCAGTAATAAAAGAAGAACAGTAGGAAATTCTTCGCCTTGACTACGGTGCATCAGTTGCCGTAGCAACCATATTCACTGATTGTAAAAAGACGTTACTTAGCTTGTCTTTGATAACAGAGTGAACGTGTCCGTCGTGAACATGAAACTGTTTTGATGACTAAACAGCAAATCGGGTTTGTGCAACCGCTTCATGATAGACTTAATAAGCATACTTGTATAACACCAAATGAATCAAGAAACACAGTGAACGTTTTTGAGTTTCGAGGTGTACCAATCAACGTAGATACGGACTACAGCTCACGAATTACGGTCGCAACTGAAGCACAGAATCGCAGTAGCAATCGTAGCCTGGAATCTCGCGTTACCGAGACGCAAGACAAAGGTCACAGAATTAGTGGTTCATTTATTGAGAAAAATCAATGGGATTCAATAATGGGTAAATAGGAATCAATAATCAAACAGATATCAGCCAATTGCCGTATTCGGTCTTCAAGTCACACGGTTTCTGTTTGAGCTGTTTGGCTGTTGAGAGATCGATACTGTTGGTCCATGGCCCAGTGTCCAGAAACTGGAACCCTTAAGGACTTGGATGGCGTCATCTCGGAGGCCTGACTAACCACAAGCGGTTTGGCAAGAGTTAGCAGTGCGCGCTGTTGTTATGTCCGCGTCACAAATGCCGTGCAGCCTTTTCCTTGATATGACGGCGCATTGATTGCATTCCTTAACGGATTCCTTTCATTTTGTTGACTTGCTGTATTCGGTTCCCTTTCACATATCCTGGTCGCATTATGTTTTGCAATCTAATAACTTGAAATGTATACACAAGGTTTTGAAGAGAATAGCTGTGGTCGATGAAAGATTGTCGGGGAAAAAACAATAAAATGTAGAGACTTACATGTGGAGAAATTCAATCACATCCGCTACTGGTCTTTTCTTTCATTGTATAACAAAGCCTATCATTTTTCTTCATGACGAGTTGCACGTTGACTTCAGGTGACAAAGCTGTTGCTCAAATGAAACATGGATACCAAAACGAAAATGCGTAAACCGCATTTAAAGCTGTGGGTTTTCGTGACCAGTCGTAAAATCGGTCTTGTTTTCCAGTCCGACCAAGCGCTGAATTCCTTAACCAGTGCCAGTTATCCTGCATTTATCCACTATCTGCAATTATTTGTAATTGGTAATTCAACGTTTACGAATGTCTTCCAGTTCAGCTCAAAGCAGGTCAACCGCAAAAGATGTGACGCTGTGAAGCTATTCCGACAATAAACGCTCTCATAAGTCTTGTATACGACAAATTTCCCGAAGTGGTATTAAACACTTCATCAATCCCTTTGAAATGTTAGTCAGGTTCGAGCTGCTTCCGGTTATGTCACAACCCCGGAGATCATTACTGTGATGAGCGAGGTACCGAGCTTTCAACGAACTTACAAAGATGAGTTGTGCTATATTGCGTGAAGACAAAGTGAATCAGTCTGACTGAGCGCCTTATGGTCAAATGGGTATTACACATGTGTTTCAAATATGAAGTCTCGAGTTTAATCCCCAGTTGAGGCGTAAATTATAATTGCTAAAAGAAGTTCGAAACAACTCAATTTTTCGGCCCACATATTATTTACTTTTTAAATGAAGAAATTCATGAGATCTAATTAAATACTCCAGTATGCTTTTGTTCTCTTTAACTTATAGATAATAAATTGTCGAAACAGCGTATAACATTGGATCGTAATACAAAACCTGTGGTTTGAATCACCAATTAGTTTTCAGAGATGCAGATAATAACTCTGCTGACCCACAAGAATTGGCTGTCGAAAAGTTTAATTCATTAATGTTTCCAAGGGGTGGAACCAACCATCGTCTTTGCAGTGTCTGCAAAATTCACGAAAATCAAGAATTAAAATTTGGTATTAAATGCTCCCAACCATTGTAGTCTTATTTAAAAATGACCACGACATTTGTCTTCCCCCTACAGGTTTCACAGGCAACCGAGAACGAATTAATGATACTAAGAAATACCGAAAAAGAATTCAACCAGATTCGCAATCGGCTTCAAGAACGCATAGACGGTCTGGAACGACAACGGGCCTCTGACGGCACACGGATTGACAGTTTGCGAGCGGAACGGAATCAGGTTTGTTTGGTGAACTGAATGAATGATAGAATGCATACAACCCCCCTCCCCCCCCAAAAAAATTCAGTTACTACTGGTATTCTTTCAGGGTCGAATAGCAATCGGGAAATATGTTGAAATCGTTTTAATGACGCGGGACAGAATAGACTTTAGTAAAACAGAGTAGCTCAACGGTACTCCGGAATATAATTGGGACTAATCCCTTGGTTTCCTTTTATCTTCACTTGTCCCATCGAGAGCGATTCTGAACGGCAATACTCAGAACTGGTTTCTCACACTGAATCAGGTAAGGTATATCTCGCGTGAGAAACACTTCATTTGCTATCAGATTGGTGAAAGCAAAGCAAATTACTAACAGTTTAGCCGTTTTGAAATTACAGGGGAGGATCGATGTGCCAGGGCAGGTATTCGGTATGTAAGACTCATATCATAGGTGGTATAAAGAAAAAACCTTGTTGTTCTTGTTCTCTGTAATTATTTCTTTAGTCCGAATCCACTTTTTCTAATATTGTTCATGCCGCGTTGGCACTGTCTGTTCGCAAACCGGTTATCAAAGGTCATTAATTGTGTGTGAGTGTTAGGCGCACCTGAGCATGCTTCATACCATCAAACAGATGGAGAAAAATCCATTCAACAACATTGCTTTGCACCGTATAACTCTTAAGTTGTTGACTTCTGGATGAAAGCTACGCTTTCATTAATGAGCAGTTTTTAATAGTGCTTTACTTATTGGCGTGCTTTTCCCTTCACTTTCGTAACGACGACGTCGTATAATACTGGACTGTGTTGTGTGCTGAGTTCGCAAATTCCATAAAGTAAAGCATATGGATGAACGTTTTGAATTGACTCGCTATCCATCACACTGTTTTGAAGCCCAATCTCCACTTCATTCAGTGAATCTCACATTCGAGAAGCATTAGACCCGAGCTCTGCAGTAGAGTATATTCACCAGCCCGCCAGAGTTAGATTTTACCTCTGAAACGATCCCACATTTGACGTGCACATGACCGCTTTGCCAAACATTTTGCACCCGGCTTGGTTAAAATTATCAATCCAAGTCTACTCGGATTTCCTCGTCAACAATAGTTCATCGTTTCGTTTGGTCCGACAGTAAACAAAGAGGGAAACGCAAGTTCAGTACATTCAAAGTGTAAGATTGATTGGGTAAAGTGAGGATTTTACATGAAGGATAGCTTGTTAAATCAATATCATGATCAAAGAACACAACATTGCAAGGGAGTACGATTTATTTCCGGAATCATTTCGCTGCATCTCAACTGGTGCTTACTGCAGAAAAAATAGTTTATGTATCACAGGTCATGACAATCTAACATGGTATCAGTTCATTCTTCGGGCTTACGTAGTCACCAGGGCAACGCCAGACTAATTTAGACCTTCTGCTGACACAGTAGGGGTTTTCGACGCTTGAGTGCTATGGCCTCGCAAATCTTAGCAGCCGTCCATTCGGGGTTGTGTAAACAATCCGAAATGAAGTCCCGCTGTCAGCTTGGTGGCCAGTCTGCAGCAGATGGCGAGCAATTGATGACGCAGGTGCTCTGTGAGACTGGCTTGATGGCCTGGTTGTTTGCGTGGCGTTCAATCTCACCCGCGCGCGTTCGACCCATACCGGTATGTGTTCAGCCACTCGGGTACGCAGCTGCCTCTCTGTTCTGTCCACGTAGGTTGTCATGACTTGTGATATATAAACTATTTTTTCTGCATTAAGCACCAGTTGAGATGCACCGATATGATTCCGGAACTAAATCGGGTTCGCGTGCAATGTTGTGTTCTTTCTTCAAGTTCATTTAGGGAAATAACTGCTTCAAATCAATATCAGTTATCCCAAACCACTGCCCCTGTGAGTTTAATGTGATTGCTTTAGTGAGATCTTCGAATGATTACAGCAGACGCAATTTTTATCATCATTATTTAGTCATTGAATTCTTGTTTATTGCTTACAGTTACATGATCTAATTTGTAAACTGGCTTTGGCTGCCAAATTCGAGGATGCAGTGCACGAGATGGCAGTTGACTTACTCGGTGAAACGCTACTTGGTAAGTGATTTACTTAAAAAGGCTGTTGGATTATTATTGTTTATTAAATCTAACCGCCGTATAGTCATCCACATCACGATTGCAAATGAAACATGTACACGTGATTGAATCAGTGCAAAACACGAGTGCCGCTGAAAAATTCCCTTTGTTCCAATGCGATTTAGTTGTATGAGCGATCAAGAATTAATCGTTGTCTCGCCATCAATTACTGATTATTATTTTTGTTATTTGAAAAGAGCCAATCGAAGAAAACAGTTTGTGTTGCAAAGACCCTTGAATTCTTTAAATAGACAGCATCAAAGAAAGTTCACTGTTAAATTTGATAAACTTACATTTAGAACAACAGCGTGGTGAACAAGCTCGTTTTCAGTTATTCATCATCATGCCATTATATAACATTAAATATGACTAAAAACAAGAACAAAACAGGGAATGAGAGATTCGAGTCCTAATGATTCAGCTGTTCAGCTGGTTCAAGGAGCGAAGAAAATATGCACGACGGACACTATCGACAATGAACTTCCGTTCCTACGTTCCGTTTTTGCTCAGAATCGCTAATCTGAACGATTTATCGATAGAGCAATGCTGGAACACGAGGAACGGCCAAAGGAAATAGGAGCAGCGAAGAAGTCTGTCTATGTGCACTTGCCGTTCAAGGCAGATACGGAGGCCGAAGTCTTTCAAAGAAAGCTAACAAGTGCAATAAGCTGAACATTTTACGCTGCACAGTTCAAAGCTATGTTCACAAATAAACCAACTGTGTTTCCGACTGAAGGATAGAGTGTCAGATTCTGCAGCCTCATTCTGTTCATATTCACTCGCCTTTTCCTGTGTGCTGGACTAATGAAACGATTGAAACTCACATTTCTGCACTTTTAACCAACCTGTATTTCTCAAGCATTTTTGAGTAGCATCATAGAACAGGTAATTATTTCGACTACATACGACGTATTTTCAATGAGATGTGCACCCCGAGCACATTATTGCAACCCATTATATTTCATTAATATTTCCTAAACCGTTCTTAATTGAAGAACCAATTTTGAGAATGTGAATAGGAAGTGAATGAAAAATCGAGAAAGTGGTCACGAAATAATTTTCGACTTTTACGAAAATATGATTTAAAAACGTCACATATTTTATTGCGACAACATTATTTCATTGATTTCAACTTATATAGTACGGCGTGCATTGACTACTCCGTTTAGAAACCTCTCCACAACGTTTGCTGTGCTCCGTAAAAGATTCTGAACCACACCTCTATCGATAGTATTCCACTCTCTCGTAAAAGTTGTCTCTCTTTCCTGCTTTATTTATATTGAAGTATATCTTTTGTGGTAGAATAGACAAGATGTTTTCTATTGGGTTCAGATCTCGGTTGCCTGGAGGCCATGATCAATGTCCTACCACGACGAAAAGACGATCACCATTGGGATAAATAATGGTAGTGAAATCCCGCATTCTTGTTTGGAACTAATTTCCACATGACTACCATTCGATGTCACTAATGTTGCAAGCTACTAATCACATTTGGGAGCAGTTTACACGCACCAAGAAGCAGTTATCGGATTCCGCGAGTGGATTAAATAATTCAATTTTACAACCACAGAAGATACAAACAAGCTATCCAGCTGGCGATCACCGATGAAGAGAAGAAACATGAGGATACTAACCACTTGTTGCAAACTGGATCTTTTGTCCTATCTTAACTTATTTACTCCTATCCGATGCTGTTCTTCGAATGAATAACTCACTGTGTCCCGGCACTGTCTCGTGCATTTCTAAAATTTAGAGCTGGAAATATTGTTTAAGTTGCAAAAATATGACTAAATTTGGAGCACCTCTTAGTATCACAAGTTCAGTTCGGCCATTTCTTGAAAAGACCATATAAATCAACAAGAAAGGTCCGTAGTTTATCCGCTTGCTGAAGTATTGTTATTTTTTCCGCCGACCAGGTCAGTAGCTATTTCAGATGTCAAATTCATCCGAATTGAACTTTTTTATCCCATAAAACTTTGTTCGTTTTTTCATCGGATATTTGCTTCAGCCCATAGCTTATTCCATTTGTGTCCTGGCTAAAGCTGTGTCTATTTACATATATTTTATTTTATTCAGTGAAGCGGTTTCAGCGTTAATCGTATGTTTCTAATGGGAACATCCAACTCAGATTCCGTTTGCATCGTAGTTGCATCATTCAGACAGTTTGATGTCATGCGCACCATCTTGTGTCTGCCTATCTCCTCGTGCGTTTTTGTGCGCCCAATCAGTGTCACTTCTTGCTTCTGTAGCTTTTGTTTGAAATAATATGCCAGGGTGGACCTAGATTTGCCAGATCATCTATATTATGTGATGCATTGATTATAAATAAAATGAATGTTTTTACTTCCTTTTTTGTGTATAGAAATCTGTAGTAAACTTTCAGGTAGGGGACCAGGGTCACAAAGTCTGATGGTTAAATATAGAAGATGCATTACAAAATGCATATATTGTTGATATCTCGGTAGCAGTGTATTTGCCCAATAGTTACTGATTTCTGCTGGCTGATACAATATCTCAGTGCCCAGTTCAAGGTCACTGATAGTGACGTGATCACATATCAACTGCTACTTTGGTGTTGCAGTTCGATTCAGTGCTTCTGTTACCGACCACACACATTAACCAGTTATAAGATGTGATGTAATATAAACGCACTCCATACTTTATAGACCGGTTCTAATGAGCAGAGTTGAAGTGGGAGAGGGTGACAGTTTTGTTTAATCAAAATTTGTTAGTTTGAGTCATATTCTCTGTAAAACAAAACAGTTTCACAGAGTTTTTATTTGATGTTTTTTATGCATTTATTCTTCAGGTTTTCAAAAATGCTAATGTTCATGTGTATTGATTTGAAATGTCGTTAAATCCAAGGGAGGGGCTGCAATAATTCTACCGCAGTTATAACTGTTTCAACCTCATTCGGTTTAAACCCATTCGTAGCACCATTTTTTTAATGATAACCAGACAAACTATCCCCCCTGACAGGCACCACCATGAGTTGTGTCAAACCCGATTATCGGTACTCCTATTTTTCAGTGATTCACCACAATGTGTCACATTCACACCCAGTAGCAATCATTTTGCTCCGGACTGTTCTTCGGCGGCCCATGCCATTGTCGTTCTATCTTGCATCATGCATAAGTCTTTCCGTTCTATCAGGTTGACCAGGCTTCGTTGTCTTGCGGTTAGTTGGACAAAACGCTTTTCCAGAGTATTCGATGGGTTGAACTGACTATCCGAACAAGCTTTCAACTCAGTTAGACCGCTCCAAACTCAACCGGACATTTGTATTAATTTGATTACGATGAGACTGCACCTTGACGTGGTGTGTTGACTTGTGCACCTCTGTGACCCAACGAGCTACACAGGATGGCTTTTTTTTAAGCCAGGAGATCTTATCATGCCTGGAAGGTCAATGGGTAGAGGTCAGACGAAGTTCAGTCTCCTGGTGCTCCGGGTTTGGAGTCCGAATGGAA